CAATCACTTTTTCACACAGGGCCATGTAGGTTTGGATTTTTTTCCCCCCCTTAATAATAAAAACCTTCATTTAAAAACTGCATTTTGTGTTTACTTGTGTTATCTTTGTCTAATATTTTAATTTGTTTGATGATCTGAAACATTTAAGTGTGACAAACGTGCAAAAAAATAAGAAATCAGGAAGGGGGCAAACACTTTTTCACACAACTGTACATACAAAATCACAAAATGCAAAGAACAAAACATCCGCATAACACACACATATACCCATGCATGTATGAGTGCAGGTGCACACAGACACATGTACACGCACATACACAGATAAATCAGTTAGTGTGCTCAAACAGCTCTAGATAGACAGCAAAGACTAGAGGAATGAAGTCTGACAGCTGTTGTCATGCAGTGTATGTAGTCTGTCATCCCACCTGGTCTGCAGGCTCTTGATGCGACACAGCATGTCCAAGTGACCGGCAGAGTACTGTTCAATCACATCCTTGACATCGTAAGGACGCAGGGTCTCCTTAAACTTCTTCTTGGCAACATGGAACTTCATTATCCTGCACAAACCGCAGATACATTCATAAATCAGCCACAAGGAGGAGCTGTTATAGTCAGTTTACACATGGCCTGCAGTCACTACCCAGAAGCTGAGAGATATTTCAAAAACTGTAGGAAATGAAAACACACCAAACCGTACCTTTATTTTCCTTGTTTTATTTCAAAGTGTTTCTTCACACCAATGCAAACAGTCAGAACACCTGAACAATCACTTGAACATTATAAAAACATCCAGTGAGGTTGTGGCTGCTTATTTTAGCTGCGTAAAATTAAAACTAACATGCTGAAAAAGCAGCTCTGAATTTATGCACCTGCGAAGCCTCAGGGAAAAATTCAAGAGAATTTGACTGAATGTGTCAGGAAGGAATCTGGGTTACGGTCCTTAAGGACTAAGAGGAATACAACTAAGCCTGGCTTCAAATATGAAGTATTTCAACAGAACATCAAATATTCAGGATTAATTAAGCAACAGTCAAAGTCATAAAAAAACATTAGGTATTATCGGTTAAGAGTTTAACTCTTCTACCATAATGTGTATAATGTAAAATAACCTAATAGCTTCAACTTTGGAAGAAAATGGCAAGAAATTTGCACTTTTTATACATTTATAGTCCTTTATATGAGCATTCACAGTGAATTATAATGCATTCATAATGCTTTGTGACCACACTCATAAACACACAATGGTTTCTGATGCACAATATCAACAGTGTGGCTCAGAAGATAGAGCGGGTCATCCCTCAATCAGAAGATTGATGGGTCGATCCGCAGCTCCTCTGGTCCTTGTCGATGTGACCCCCCCCCCCCAATTGCTCCTGAACCATTTTATGAATGGTGTCAATGGGTGAATAGCATTTAGTGTAAAAGAGCTTTGATTGGTCAAAAGACTAGAAAGGCTCTGTACAGCTCCATTGAACATAACCATTTACCATAAATATATATTTGGCTATAATCTATAATAAGGCATTCTTCATCATAACATTTTATTGTTGATGCTAAATTTCATGCATTTAAAATAATCTATGCTGCATCATAAGTGATTATTATGTAAGACGCCAAAATACAGAGACATATAATTAAGTAAAATTTGTATCCTTTAGGAATGGAACCTTAATGTATAAAATCTACAGTATATTATACATTAAAAGTATGTTTGTTTATTTTTGCAAAGGATGGAAACAGTGAGTTGGGGTGTTCTAATGAACTATCAACAGCTGAATGTAAGCCACTGTAATAGTTGGAATATTTACATCCATTACAATCCTTCTCTCTCACACACACACACGGAACATCAAAATGCTCACATTAAAAATGTGAGTGTCTTTTAATATATTCAAACAATAAAAAAGCATTATCTGATGCCATAATGTGAAGATTATTGCTGCAAACTTTCAAAACGCAGCAAGACTTTAAAATAAAATTGCTTTCTTAAAGCAGCTTTTACGTAAACATGTGGTCCTTTGTATGAAAACTACATCTGTCCCTAACATTAACAGATGAACAATTAGCACTTTGCTGTTTTCATCCCACAGTAAAAACTTGAAAAAAAATGTATTTTTTCTTTTTCTAACTTTTAATTTATGAAAACATAAGTTTGGAGGTAATCACTATTAAGCCTTTATGCTTGACAACATCACAAGTGTGAGACTTCTCTGGTCTCTGGCTATAAGAGAGAGTGCGCCTCATGTTCACAAATATTGATTGAACTTTCCTAGGCCATGGACATAACATATTTGAATTCTTAATTTAGGTGGTGTTCTCCTTTAACTTTAGTTGATCAGTTCTACAATTAAGAAATCCATTTTTTTTAAATCAAGTGGGTTTAGCCATATATTACCTGACTGACAGATCAGAACTACCCTTTGATTGAAGTATAAATATAGGTGTTTAAGTAATTATAATATTATCTCTAAATCAATCTTTTGTTTAGATTTGATCTGGGTCTTTCTTCTTAAAACAGTTGAACCATAATGTAAACATATTTAAGACTTAATTCTTGCTGGTTCATCAAAAATGTCCTGCTTCTGTCTGACTATGTTTCACATTATGGTTCTGTCACTTTACATAGCTTTTCATTGATAATGCTCCCACTAACCATATTTCCTTTCGCAACACTTATCCAATCACATGAACCCGAGATGATCTCTAAAAATAACCATAAAAAAATATATGTCCTCCGGTCACTCTAATCCCCTGAGCATGTTCAATCAGGTGAGCTGCTAACAGGGGGTTGCAATCGGGGTTTGTTCGCATGCAAGCTTGGCAGTATAACTAATTCAGTATCAGTTGGATCGAAGGAGGCTTTGACTCACCTGACAGCTCTAATGACAGACTTTACGGAGGGCAGCAAGTCCTCTACCGAGATCTCGCAGTGACAGCCTTTCTCATCGTAGCCATCCTCCCCTGCCATGTTGGAGTCTGCTGGGAAAGAGGATACAAGAAAAGGAGGATAAATTCAATATTGTTCATAGATCAGACTACATTATCTCCCCAGCAACATTTTACATGAATGCATAAAACAGTTTACTGTGAGGCAGGGACTTAGAGTGTGCATTTACTTGTGTTGCATTAGTCTTACTACTCTGAAACCTCAGCTGACACGCAGTAAGTGATCAGATTCGTGCCACTATTATCAGTCCTCCCTGCGTGGTTGTAGAACAGGGAGGTTTTTGGCAACATTTCAGTAACTCATTTTTGCCAAAAAAGAACAACGTAATTCCTTCCTCCATGTCACTTTCAGACGCAACATTATGTGATGTTTAAAAAAACGTTAAGCTTCATTTTACATTTTGTGGGAGGATGGTGGAACAAGCTGAAAACAAAAGATTGACATATTATCACCTATTAAAATTGTTACAGTCAGGCAGACTTGCTAGCATGTTGTGTTTTCATCCACCTGAGGAATGAAAATCTAAATTTGTAATTTTAAGGTGTGTGTTTGGTCTCCACCTACTCTGGAGGGATATATCTGACTTTAGCTGCTAAATGCTTCCCTATGTGCACCAGCTATAGTCGCTAACTTCACCTGTCTGCCGTTCGGTGCTAAGCGGAGAGCATACAGTGGGTTTACTAGAGATTTTTCATTGAAAACGGCTGCCTGCTGCTGCTGCTGGAGACAAGTTTGATGAGAGCAGAGTTTGTGGGCCAGAAAACCAAAAGCAATGAGCTCAAAGAAGCTAAACTGCTCTGTAGGAGTGCAGCATTGGAGCATCGGCGGGCAATCACTATCAAGCAACCACTTTCACATTGGCTATTTGATACACTTAATAAAAAAATAATAATTTGTGAAGCTTTAGGAAACCTGAAGTAAGGGTGTCCCAGAGCAAAAATCTAGCTGCATTACCTGTAAAGTAAAGGTCACATGGACCTTATCAAAGTCTGATTATTGTGATATTAGTGATTAAACAGCAATGCATGCAAACATGCTGAAAATGACTGGACTCAAGTGAACTGAATTGTGAGTGGAAGACACGTATATTTTATTTTTATACACTGAAGAGAAAATGTGTTTTGAGCTGCTGTCCAGAACAGCAGCCTAGTTGCAAAGAACAGGCCTCTGGTGTGCCAGCAGATATATCGCTAACAATGCAACCTTGTGACAATGCCGCTCTTTTTATGGGCCTTCTGAGTTACGATACCTGGAGGAGGTACGCAGAGGGTTACAGCACAAGAACTGGACAGCAGAGTTGAGCCATTGCTCAGTTTAATGAAATGCTTTAATATATCACAGCCTGTAGGGTCTGCATGTGCTCAAGTGTTTTCATTTGTGTGTAATACAATGAGTCAAAGCTGCTTATTATTAAAAGATAGTGTGTCACCTGATGAAAATGTTAAGCAGTGCTGATTAATGATTCTCTCCATTAAACAAAACATGAATTATTCAAATACCCCTCTTCTAACATCTCAGTTAGCCAACATGTCGGTGACGGTGAATGATCAGGAGCGTGGCTGACCAGCCAACCAGTTTGGTTTTGGCTAGCTTGGTTATTGATTCCTCTCCACCAGTAGGCCTCAGCCAGCTGGCCGCCTCTGAGCCCCCTTGTGGCTGCTGGAGCTCAACACCCCCACCTTCCATCAATCCATCAGTCCACCCACCACAAACACCAGCTGGCTGTTACCCAGGAGGGCTTGCCAGGCCGGCACTGCCAGGCCGAACGAAGTAAGCACAAATAACCATTAGCATTCCGCAACTCATTTGCCTGAATTTATTGTACCTGAACCATTTATTGTGGGTTGGATGGTCAGTAAATAAACCTCAATTAAATACATGTAGTGATGCTGGGGGGCTACAGTTACCTCATGATTGGACTTGAAGGAATTGTTTGACATTTTGTATTCTCTTTCTTGCTGAGAGTTTGATTTGAAGGATTTCATTTATGTTTGCTAATATGAAGCGAGAGCCACAGAACAGTTAGCTTAGCATAAAAACTGGAAGCACGGGGAAACTTGGCTCAGTCTAAAGAAAGAAAATGGCACCATTACACTGTAGCTATTTAATTACCTGGCAACCTCACGGTGACAATAACACTCAGTTAAAGTGCCCGGTCAACAAAAAAGTCCAGCACATAAAACCACAACTAGTTTTCACACAAAACTTAAGGTGCTAATTAATGAGCTCTCAGCTAGCGCTAGGCAAGAAAGTGAACACACGCAATATTTTAAAAATGTTAAATTAAGATATGTATGATTTTAGCGTTTTGTAATTAATCAGCTGCCTCAAAAAGCTTTTTTTAAAAATCTCATTCAATGGTAGCACTGTGCCGAGTAATGAGAGAATGACAATGAATTCTACCTTGAATTTGTAACAATCGCCACCAAATCTAGAACTGCTAATTAATCCAAAGCTAAGTTAAACGTTGTCTGGAAGGGGAATAATGGGACAGTGTCACTCACCGTCAGTGGTGGAGCGCGACTGGCTCTTAAGGCGGAGTGAGGGTCTGAAGCGTGTGCGGTCGTTGAAGCTCCAGCTCTTCTGTACCTTGGCAGGGCTTGTGGCCTCTGACCCAGCCTCAGCCACCGGAGACCGCCGTTCGTTCACTGAAGACGCCTGCCTGTTTTTGATGCTCTGACCTCGGGGGCTCGCCATCCTCACCCGGTCTTTGAAGCTCAACTTCTGACTGTAGGGTGAAATAGGGATGAATGAACAGTGGTAGGGAGGGGAGTTGGAGTGAGGAGAAGAATAAGAAGGGAATGATGTTGTGAAGAGGTGGAATGACATATTAAGATATGTTAATGTTGAAAGTTTAAGAGCAGCAACATAAATCATCCAAGCCTCATGTCATAATGTCCTTTTCACAATCTTGTCTTATGTAATCATCCAGAACTTTATCTTCTAGTATGAGGCTGAGGGGCTGCAGGACAAGATGGAAAAAGACGAGCATGCATCGCAGCATTGTAGCAGGTGCTTTCCACAAAATGCAAGCTCAGGTTAGGTTTGATGTTTCCACTGTGTTGTGTAGCTTGTGTCTTGATGTGTTTTTATCCACTGCATTAGCTAAAGTATGTCATTTGATATGACCAATTATTTAGCATGTTGCAAAAATGAAAATTAAATGTCACATTGTCATATTAAATGGTTAAATGTTGTTACTTTCATTTGTGCTTGTATCGTAACACGTGTCTTACCATACCCTCCATCACCATTTAAAGTAAAAGGATTTATTGTACATAAGTGCCACGTAACAAGTCATGAAAGGGGAGGTTATGAAAGAAAAGTGATGAAAATGACTTGTGTAAAGGGAAGGAACAGGACAATGAGAAGAAGAGAAAGTAAGGGAGCGGCTGATTCTGTTATTGTGCCGCTTTATATAATGACTGCATGCAAATACAGTGCACTAGCTTCAGGCATGGCTCATTTAAAAGTGGTATTGTGTATTGTATTGAGCATGAGTAGTTTTACATCAAAGGATAAGGCTTGTATCTATATTTATGTTCGTGTCGGCCAATCAAATGAGAAGACCAAAACCAACAATGTTTTTGTGTGTCTTTGTGTCCCTCTTTGTGGCAACTGCTCAGTGGTTCCAACTGAAGCAGTCAATCTTTAGAAACGGGTCAAAAATATATTTTGTTGTTTCTAAAAATGGCTCAGTAATTTCCTAAAAGAGCTGGTAGGTTTTATCAAACGACGCTCAAATGGCAGTAAATGGTTATTTTCAGTACTTTCAGCTGCGGATTAATACACATTTGGTGCTCTAGTCAGGATTTACATCAGCAGGACAGTGAGTGTGGGATTGCATCAAAATAAAAGAGAGTGGTCATGTTAATGGTAACGTCACCCAGTGCAACAGTGTGGCTCATCGATCAGTTTTTAATAGATTATGGACAACAATGGCCCTTTTCAGTCACGATTACGTCACGGTGGATGGAAAACAACCAATATCACATACATTTGAGATATCTGGCAATAGCTATGACAAGAGTGTGTGGATGAACTTGTCATGATTTACTAATTTAGCGGCTGGCCAGTTAGCCAGCTACCTTGCTAATTGCTCAATCCATCGCTGGTTTTAGACTTTTCACTAGCTTTGTTGACAAGAAAAAATATAGAATATCACTTGTCTTTGACAGAGGAACGTGACGTGTTTGAGTGACCAGAAACATAGTACAAATAATTATAAATTAAAGTTTGTATACAGGTAAAGGTGTACAGTGTGATAAGAAGTTGAGATGTAACTCCAGGAGCTGCATAAAGAAAAACATGTTGTCGGTCCGTGAAGTAAAATTATTCTTCAGTCAGGAAAAAGCTTACAGGTGTTCATTATTTCACAGGGGATCTGCTACCAACAATGAATCCTGGTTCAAATATTCTGAGAGCAAATGTAGTTAAAACCAAAATCACAACAAGCAGAAGTAGCGCATTGCTCAGGCAAACATCAAACAAAGGCAGATAGTGTATTACTATGAAGGTGACTGATGTCTCCCTGCAATATTCAATTACTCTGCCCTGTCTGAGGGCGCACAGCCTCCTACAGATACCCATGCACCAAGAATTAGTCAGCATTCCTGAATAAAATGTCATATAACAGGGGAGCAGAACTGCTTTGTACCTATGTTTCCAAGTAGTACGCCTCCTCAGTAGCTTCTGTTTATTACTAAGAATTTTACTAAAAAACCAAGGGGAGACAAACAGTGATGTGTTACAGGATGCAGAAACAAAGGAGAGAAAATATTTAACTCTGAATGTTTTGTGAGGTGAAACAAAGAGCTTCTTTACCCATATTTACCCTTGCCTATTTTTTTATGTGATTCTTGTGCTTCTTACTGTTAATAATTTGTTTCATGTTGCTTAAAGCCAACCTGAATGTAAATGCAATGATCCTTTGTAAGACTATGTATGAAGGCTACAAAATATTAAGTAAAACCGCAGAGTTTCTGTCGCCACTTTGATTTGCCGACCATTGACATTTAGAAGCAGCAGAATTGCAATTGAGCTCAGTAGAGGAAAATTAACATCTACAGCACCATTTGAAAAAGGCTGCAATTTGGTGACTCACGCACTTCGTGTTCATATCCCCAATTTAACTATGTGGATTCAGATGGGCCATGGCAACAAGTGCCTGAGTCACCAGTGTGAGGCCAGTAACCTTTCGACAGACACTTGTGGGTTCACAGAGGGTATTAAGATGCAGAACTTTGTTCTGATTTTTCATGTAATTCTTTTTGTCCTACAGCTGTGTTTTATCACTGCGCGTCTGTGATATATTACTTTGAAGATTAATAAATAAATCTAGCTGATAAATAAAGTAAGGCAGCTCCAGTTGTATGGTACAGTGTGGCTTTTATTCTCCTCTCCAGCTCTGCAGTGCAAATGCTGCTCTTGACGTGCAGGTGAGGCTGATTCTCTCAAATTTCAATCTGCTTAATTTGGTTATTTACTTTTTGCATTCTTTGGCTTCCTCTGCAAGAATATAGAGTTCATATATGACGCCAGGCTCAAAGGAAAAACAGTACGGTTGCTGTGGTTGTTTACAGACCAACGTTTATTCAGTGTTTCATAACAACAAATTACATCACTGAGCCCTCACTGCCCTGCATGCTGTCTTCCCCTTGTGCTATTAGCTAAAATACTTCCATGAGGATATCGTTAGAACATTTGGCAATATGAATAAAGACTCAAGCTGAATACAATTTGTTATAAGAGTATAATAGATACCTGAGGCAAGAGGATGCTGAAAAAAGAGAAATATGTACATGCATGTAAGGATGTGTATGACTGCTTGTATTTGAGAGCCTCAGGATGTGCATGTTTTGTATTGGAGAGGAGAACAAGTGATAAAAAAGAAAGATAGATGATAGAACCAAACCGAAAGATAAAACAATGAGTCATACAGAGTGCTAGTGTAAAGGTCGCTATCAGAGGGTCAAAGTTTCATTACCCACAGCCTTCAAAACCTCCTAACTTAACTCTCTCTCTCTCTCTATCAAAGTGCAGTTCAAACAGAAGTGGAGCAACGGTGGTCTTTGGGTTTATAATGCTTGATGTTGTTCCTGAAATAGGGCTGGGTACTGTTAGACACAATTGATAGTGGCGATACAATACCTTAGTTTTGGTACAGATAGCATAATGATGTTTTATTTTAATATAAAACCCACTGTGCACCACCTGTCCAGGACCAAAAAGCAGAGTAGCCAGTATATCGAGCAGCTAAACAATGGTATTTTTCCTTGGTGGAGACCAGACCAGAGCTACAAACAGATAATATCGTACTGTCAATAAATGAATGCTAACTTTCAAGTCAAGTCTGCTGGATGTTTAAATAGCAAAGTGTTTGCTAACACGTTCGCCCTAACGCCCTTCAAGGTGACAATATGTCAATGTTATGCTTATAGCTTGTTGCACTTCGTGCATATATTGACAAAAATCTATATATTCAGGTTTAAGTAATATAAACAAAATCCTTTCTTTTGTTAAGAAGCCAAACTTCTCAGATGTTAAGTGTTCTGATACACAAGATCTCTGCTTGAATAAAAATTGAAATTCAAATTATACATGTCAGTTTTTCATATTCAGTCTCAAAAAAGTATTACGTTTTAATAACCAGCCCTATTCAACCTAATAGAAGACAGTACTTGTTCAGTGAAACAGCAGTTACAAACCTTGTGGTTGACTCTCCCTGCTCCTTCCTCGAGTTGGCAGATGAGAAGAAGAAAAGATATATTAGAAAGCATCTTTTCAAAATACTTCATCATCAATTGTGCTTAAAGGACCATACTAGTGCTTTTGCATATTTTAGCTGATTTATTACAAATCACAGAGACTTTAAATTACAGCTAAGCATGTTGAAAAACCACACTGCTGTGTTTCAGACATTTTAATGCATTTTTCCATTTTATTTTCAAACGATATAAAAATCGATTAGAAGACTCTTGAAAGTTGATTACGTAATGTTACAGTGAATATCCAGTCTGAAATATTTTTTGTCAAAGAAGCAATTTTGTCATGAGTAGAGCAATGGTAGAGTGTACAGAAATTATGGAAATCAATGGATGCCCGGATAAAGAAAAAAAAATGTTATAGCCTGCACTAAAAAATGTAGGTATACGTGATTTGTAGTTAAGGAGCTAAAACCTGAAAACACACTGATATGGTCCGCTACATCAGCACAGTAGAAATATGTTTGCATTAACGTCTGCTGCAGGAGATTTGATGGTAGCAACACGTCGATCAATAATAAGCATTCCAGGGGAAATAGACCTCAACAAACAGCAGGCTCACTAAAAACATGCAGACTATCAGCACAATCTAAGGAAGCACTTGCAACAAGAGATGGGGACTGAGTGACTGAAGGTCACCAACAGTAATCACTTTAAGCAGCGTCTCTGAATAACTGTGTGACTACATGACTACGTGCCTTGCAGATGGTTTTCACAGTATTTCCAGGCTCCATAGACGTGTTTCTGAGGAACGTCATGTGTACACGGGGGGGTAGACAACGAACCGAATGAGTGCTTTGTTAGTATTTTATGCCAACTCTTCGATTCACAAAATAGTGGTTGGAAAATGTGTCTGGCATATTTAGATGGAGAACAGCAGAAAGTTTATATGCTGCTTAATAATATTGGTGATTTCCAGAATGAGGGGGGTTCTTTGCTACCAAAGCCACTGAATCGATTCTGAGCTGTTCTTTCGCCAGATAGTCAACAAAGTACATATTGGTCCCATTTTTCACAAGCCATTAATCTTCCGATATCTTTGGCACTAACGTTTGTAAACACCCTAGCTAACTAATTTCCATAATATAAATATGTTTGTACGTTGTGTATAGATATAAATACATTATGCAGATATAACCTAATCTACTTTCAGCCATCCTAACAGCCTTTCCAACACTTCCAAACAAGAGGGAGGATGAGGGGGAGAGGCGAATACGCCATGAACACCCCTGTTTAGGAGACAGGAAGTGTACACCATTTCAAAACACACAGAGTTGTTATAGAGTATCTTTGACTGTGCCTCCAAATTACTTATTACTTATTTAAAGAGACTTAAGTGCTGCAAATTCAAAAAAGTTTTATGGCTCATTTGGGGCCACAACTGACGTCCAAAAAAGATACTGAGATAATGCTGAAGTCACTGCCTCAGACCCTCGGTGTCCCTGGCACATTGAGCACTTAACTGACTTTAGTTAAATACAGAGAGCCTGACTCTGTGCAAATGTTCTGGATGGATACAATGTTAATTTATATAATAGCAGCAAAAATGAAGGGTTGCTCAGAAATACGTTTTTTGTTGATTCAAGCAAGCGGAGATTAATGGAGCCTGGAAATGATCTGTTTTGGCTGTGAACCAATTTATCATAAGAGAAGAAAATTAGAAAATCAATGCATAAATAATGTAAATAAAGAGGGCAACACAGATACATTTAAGAAAACAAAGAAAAACAAATTGAAAACGGTTGAATCATTTTAAAAAGATAACTGGACAGAACTGAAATATAGGAAAAGATGGCTTGAGTGGCACAGACACCATAGTGGTACCTACTTTGTAGGGCTGCAGGTATGCAACGCTTTCAAGTGAGGCTTCCAGGTAGCAATGGAAACCGAGTTCTCATCAGCCGCATAACTACGCCAAACACACTGCATGCAGAATACACAAAACCAGGAAGAAAATAAATCATAAATGGGAGGGATAAAAAAGTTAATAAATACAACAAAAACAAGGGAGAGGAGGGATTAAGAAGTAAAAAGGAAGAAGAGGATGAGGAGAATAGAACACAAATAAAAAAGCTGATTAGTGAAAACAAAAAAACAGGTGTGTCACACGTTTGTGGCTGGGCGGAGGTCAGGCATGAATACATGCCTGTGGGAGGGCAGGAGGCTCTCATAGTGCCGCCAAGTGGCGTTCATGTAGGGCTTGGTGCTGTCGGTGGAGTAATAACGCCACGCAGCCTGGTACAACATGGGGACGGACAGGATGAAGAGGAGGGGGAGACGACAAGAGGTGGAGTACAGGAAAAGGGGGAGATGGGAACATGAGATGGGAGAGATAGGTGGGAGGGGGAAACCAAAGAGGAGGAAAATGAACAAGCATGTAGGAGGAAAGTAGGTGAGAGAGGACCATAAGGAAGTGCACAGAGAAATATATGAGGAGGACGTGAGGTCAGCACCAATAAAAGGAAATGTGTGAATCACATGAAGAGAGGGATGGCAAGAATGGGTTTGCCAAACTGGTGTTTCTAGGCTTCAAGCCTTAAAGTCTGGAAAGTGCAAAAAAAACTCCCAGAGATGAGGCAGCTTACTGCAAAGTGAGGATGATGGGGCACAGGGCAGGACAGAGTGAAGCTACAGGCTTTTTATTGGTTGTGTCATGGTTTTGGAGAGTCAACGGAGGAAAACGAGAAACTAAAGAATACATTTTATATTGCAAGTTTACTTTGATGTTGTGGTGTATTTTTTTTTTAATAACAGCAACAACTCATTATAACAATGTTCATATATTCTAGCTCAAAAACAGTTATGTTTGTCAGTAAACAGAAAGAGAGCAGGCTGTCTGCTTTACCTGGATGAGGTAGGCGGCTGGGTTTCTCCTTTTCTCAAAGTGCTTCTGTCTGTGCTGCTCCTGAACCTTCAGGGCAAAGCCTGAGCCCAGAATACCCTGGTATGATATTAACAGGATTAAATTCTGGATGTGTGTACACACCAAAGACTGTCAAGTATCACTAATCTGCTCATAAACTGCAATACTGACGAGAACGTCCATTGTGGCTGCATGGAAAATGACAGGGTGATTTTGTTTTTAGGTAAACCTCAAAGGCCTGCAATCAAATATTATCTTGCTATGTAAATAACTTGCAGCGAGTTAAACACAAACTGATCCGTCAGAATAACACTGAAACATGCATCCTCTCTGACACCTGAAGAATGAAGAATACAGACTTACAGCTGGCAAGGCAAAGAAGGAGATTCCCAGGAGGGCAAACCCTGCGGACAACATCCGTCCTGTCCACGTCTTTGGTGTTTTGTCCCCATAACCAATGGTTGTCAGGGTGATCTGTGAAAACAAATGATTTATTATCAGGTCCTGAATGATCATATTGACGTATACAGATGAGAGGAAAAACGTACAAGTATAAGCTTTACTTGTATATCATTTAAATATCATCTCAGAAAACAACAGCTGACAGGAAGTTGTTTCTTAAAAGACATGCTGCTTTTGGTACCATTTTTTTTAATAGACACTCTTTATCAAGGTCTTATAAGATGTAACTAATTAATGATTATTAAACTGCTTGCCAGTGTTGTATAGATCAGTTATAAACCATTAATAAGAACAGCTTATGGGTTATCAGTTCATTAATAAAACTGTTTATTCTCATTCAGCAGGACCCATGTCTTTTTAGCTTGCCTTTGTATTTAGTTTATTAAGAAATATTACCATTAATCATCCTTAATTTCGTCAAGTATCTAAAAAGCATTAGTAAATGATTCATTATTAACATTAGATTTATTATTAACATTTCATTGCTTTGTGCATCAAAAACTAAATTCCACTCAGTGGCATATTACTGAGGTGGTGGCAAATGTTTCTGAAGCATCTATTTAACATTCGTGGCAGACTTGAGCAAAAATGCATCTGCTGGTTACACAGTATTTATCTAAGAGGGCTGAACTTGATGTGTCAGTATTCAATTAAATTACACAAATTATTTAGAATTAGTCAACTAACCTTGTATGTTCAGTATTTGCCTTCTTTGACTACTTTGAGTTATGCGTCTTGGTCTGGTGTTCTAACTGTATTATATTTGCATGCTGTTTCGTTTGCATGCTTAAACTTGCCACATAGAGGCATGATTTGAAAATGATGCCTTCAGGCCGCGCAGTCTGAGTGATTGGATCTGTGTGGAGACTCTGTACAGTGTGGCCTTGGCTCCAAGAACAATGTTGAAAGCCTGTGGCTGAAATTAATTTTGAAGCACTGCATGTCTGTTCTTGCTGTCATTTATGTGTGAAGACTTACTGTACTACAGGGATGGTCTTTGAAGACACAATGAGAGGGCAGTTATATCATATTTACACCTTTGACTGACTGCACTGAACAAAAGAGATGATTGAAATGTCTTGATAAAATTGAGTCAAAGAATCATGTATTAGAGAGGTAAATGCGATAATGATTCTTAGTGATGGGGGTACCTAAATATGAAGAGAGCTATTCAAAACAGGACCCTGAAAAGGGGTATTTAATATATATTAGTGTATTCACTATTTAATGACAGAAGCAAATCAATCTGGCTGTGGCCTAGAATTTGCACTGCTTACAAAACTGCCTGTCTTCAGTAATATCTGTCTATCTATCCATCTATCTATCCATCTATCGCTCTGTTTTTTCAGACTAATCAGTCGGTATTATCTTTCATTCAGCCTCTTATTGCTTTGCAGGACAAAGGCGGCTGGAACCTTTCGGTATCATTAGGATTTTTTTGAGCCGGTATGAAAATGGTGGTTAATGGAGCTATCCGAGGCTAAATGTTTATGGAGGAGCTGTCAATGCTGAAGGCAATGACAAATCGAATAGGAGAAAAATATTACCGTCTAATGCTGGACGTATTTATGTGAAGAGGTAACAGTGCCGATTTGTAAGAAGTGTAACTTTGAGATCTCCTGTTGCACAAGAAACGAGACTGTGTCTGTGAAAAGAAATCAATTATAGAAATTCACGAGATAGTGAAATATTTTGGAAGTGGAATGAAACTGGTCTGGCAGCTGTTAAATCTTCATTTCCATCTTCAATTCCATATTTTAATGTTAAGATGTCAGCCATATTGCCCAGAGAATTGATTTGATGCTGCTGTTTTCATTCCTCCTGATGCAAGTTCAAAAGATGCACTGGAATGCACTACAGGTTTTGTTTTGTTGTTTGTCAGGTGTAGAAAATGCTTTACAACTACATTTCTTTGTGTCACCCTGTGTGGCATAATGACAATAAATTATCCTTGAATTAGGAGATTTTACTGAATCCTGACAAGCAGAACAGATATTCCGCCATACTCACCGTGCCCCACCACAGAGCATCAGCGTAGGTGGCAAACTCCTTGTTGAACTTGTTCTCCACAAGGTAGACAAGGAACGAAGAGAAGATGAGAACCAAGAAGCCGATGTACCAGGCGGTCACCAGTTCCTGCAGGCAGACATCAAAACTGACTTTCAGAGAGTCATTTTATTAACACAAAAAAAACACTTTGCATATGAACAGTTCAACCTTAATCCACCTTTTATTGAATCTGTGTTTTAAATCGGCATCAAACGCTGTAGATTATTTTAAAACACCCAGGTAGTCTCCTTCACAAAAACTCAAATATGAAAGTGCACAAGGGCAGGTACATGTTGTTACGGTTATCAGGCTGGCACTTTCCAGCATTTTTCATCAAATAAATGCCAGCTCTGGCAGGCTGAACAGCGAATTCTGATAGCAAAGCAGATGTAAATGAAGATTCTACCCATTCCAACATCTACCCATCAGTAAGACTGGTGAAAAATTGCCCCAAATTCGACAAAGCACTCCATTAGATTCCCAGCAATACACTCACCTAGTATGAAGCAGATCAGATGAGCAGTTCTTGAGCTATGCGGACAGACTGACTGACAGAGATTCCTTGATTTATACTTGGGTGATGTTGACAGGGCAGAACTCAACCCTGACCACCAGTACACGGTCCTTAACATAACATTTAATGTAAATACCCAGGTCTTTTGCTTACTGCTCTAGCTGATGTTGATCGCTAGATGTTGCTAGATGTTCGCTAGATGTTGATCGCTAGATGTTGATCGCTAGCAAGAGATATCTTTTGAAAGATATCTCAAAACAAAAACAACCTGCGACTGGCTGCATAATTGGTTGTTTTGGTTGTTTTCACTCACAATCCACTAGAAACAATAGTTTGGCGAGAAAATTCCATAAATCATCTACAGAGGCCCAAAATCCTTTTCTACAAAGCTCTTACAAAACACATCCTTGCTGCATGCACAGTCTTAAAATTATACTACTTTAAGTTCTAAAAATCTTTTCTGTACCGTTTTGTATTAAATGTCTGTAATTAACTGTTGAACAGTTTAATTGAATACTATATGAATATTTGTATACAGTGGATCTGACCGGGTAAGTAACGGCTTTGCCAAAGATACCAAAGGTGTTCATAATGAGTTGTACAACCCATTTACATATATGAAACACCTTAGTATACACTATGCCTTGCACATACACTACCACTAACTATAACTTTTAAACTGTCCAGAGTTTGATCAACACCTTAATACACAGTATTGGGCTTCAGCTAGGTTTATTACAGGGCTGTGCATTGGATTGGATTGGTTTCTTTAGGTGTAGGTACCTATTAATGTGTCTACTTAAAATACAATAACACAATTTCAACATATGTAAACATAGTGTACTATATCTACAGTACTTCACACTGGAGCTCACACAAAGTTCCCAGCGATCTTGATCTATGCCTAACAATGTGTGTGTGTGTGCCTGCGCATTGGCCATTCCTCTGTGGCAGCTCACCTTGCTGTGTGCGTAAACCACAGAGCCCAGCAGCTTCCAGGTGCCTCCTCTTCGGTCCATTCGCACCATGCGAAGGATCTGCAGGAAACGCAGGCTCCGCAGCACCGAGGTGGCAAAGATGTTGCCCTGGCTACCCGCCGAGACCACCGCCACCGACGCAATCAGCACAATGATGTCTGGAGGGCAGAGAAGATACATGCACAAGGGACAAATATAACTCGTTATGACTCAACCCTGGAAACAAAATACAGCATATCTGGCATCATGATCATTTAAATCGTATAAATTTCATAGTATATTTAACCGAGTGGAAATAATATTCTAGATCTCGGCTTCCTTTAATGTGCTACGTTATTTTGTAAAAGTATGATTAAAGCTCTCTTCCTGCACGCTTTTAAAAAATTATCTTTGTGTTCATTTTGTGCATTTACTTTATATTTCTTGATAAACATTCAAGTCAACTGAGGTCATTCAATTTAAACAATGGTGATTTGCTTAAGATTTTGTGATGCAAAGTCAATGTTTGTATCACTATAGATACCGGAAAAACTGTTTCATTCAAGATAAAGTTCTATAAATATATTCCACATGCTTTAAAAAATGTAAAAGACTCATAGGAGCAGAAAAACATTCACCCCGACAGCTTAAGAAGTTCGACCTAAAGGCAGGTATATCTTACTAATATTAATCTTAATGTGAAACTGGCCCTTTAACCAGATAGGCAGGATGACTCATCCAAGCCTGGAGGTCAGAATATCTGGGGCTCGCTTGATGTCTATCATGTAATAACAGCAACTCACTGTTGTCACCTCGTTCTCACCCCTCACTGTGGCAACTTATCCCAACAAAGGCTCCATATTACTGAAGCTGACATAATCTGCCGTGGGCATCAACTCAACAGTAACAATAATAACAATAATGTTCTGTGCGCTCTTCCTATATATGCTGTTTGTATATGTCGCCTGGCTACTACATCCATATTGCTGTGGACACAAACAGGAAAGTGTGGAAGATAAGCTGAAGCTTCTATGAAGAGTATATTTCCACACAGAGTAGATCTGAAATTATCAGGATCTCCACACGACATGTCAGTGAGATTCTCACGTCTACAAGTTTCAGATGTGTTTCTCATTTAATTTTTATGTTTCCATGTGAAACACCCTTGAGTAGTGTTATCTAGTTCACACTGTGCAAGATGTCAGCTCCCGTCCTTCCGCTAAACCTGTTTCTGAGAGAAAATGCTGACCAAGTTCTGTCTAATGGCTTCTCTTCTAAACCATGAACCAGTGGGCAGACCCAGAGTGGGGAGAGGGAAAAGTCAGCAGCAGCACCATGAAAAATACATTAATGACACCTCGGAGATGAGAGTCTCTGGGGCACCCGCAGGGCAGCAACGGGTTCACTCCCTTTGACGGTGCAGAGAGAAAATGTGAGGAAAGTGAATGATAGAAGGGTGAATGTGTGTGTGAATGTTCAGCTTCCAGTTGTACAGCGTTTTGTTCTCCATGTACAAAACAAACCCTTCATACAATATAACATACATTTGTAAAGACAACTTTCTAAAACCTAAAAGACCATTCAAAGATATAGAGCAGTCCTCTCAGACATCCGCCTGCACCCAATGAAGCTTTAGTGGCATAAGATTTCAAACTTTTGAACTCACTACCTCAATTTGTTCAAATACAGTACCAAATTCCCATATTGTTTAATGCCGGAAGAGGCACAAATAAGGATAAATAAATCTGTTGGTAGCACTCCAACAGTAATTCGGCTCTCTAATCTCTCAAGCACCCAAATCGATTTTTATTTAGAGGTGTACCGACTTCCCCAAGCTTCCTCCCGACACACAGTGCCATCGTTTGTGTCAGGCATTTTATTTCAAATTGAGATAATTTACCATTTGCAAAAACAGCAACAGCTATGAAATCAAAAACAAAGTTGTTTTTTTACATCTTGTATTGAATGAGAATTCATGGTCATCATTTTTTTTTGCACAGTAAGATATATATAAACATTTGTAAACGAAACGCCCGATTTGCAGCATGAGGTGTTCTGACCATCAGGCAAATCAAACAATTGTGTGGTGTTACAATCCATCCTGTCATTCAAAGAAATTCACAAACACATTTCATGAGCAGCCCCAGTGAAGCTGTGCTGCAGGAGTTGTTCATTCAGATGTTTATTTCTAAGTTCCCAGGGAGTGTCCATGTCGACGGATTTGCCCCGATGGGTTATATATGACTGCAGAGGACAAAGCCACAGCTTACATCACTTGTGGTGATATTGCCTTCAGTAAGTTAATTATGTTCACTCTGGGGCTCCAATAAGTACGTTGATGCACTCGTACATATAGGAAACTACACTTAGACATACATGAACGGAAACACACACAACACCCTCAGTCAGTGTGGTGCCGGTGGGTTTTCACAGAAACAGTAAACAATCTTTGTTTGTTTGCTTTAAGGGTACCGTAGTCAATTTAGACATTGGTTGATTATTTTTCAAAGGGCATGTCAAATAGCATATACAGTATATATATATACGTATATATATATATATATATATATATATATAGTCACAGAAGCAAGAACACAGAGAAAGATAAATGTCAAAGCCACAAACACATGATGGGACTGATCATCGTGTCCTCTCCTACCACCACATCCCGTACTACTCAGGTCTTCTGAGTTCAACTCATTCCTCACTTTATCCCATTATCTCTCTCATTAGTTCATGCTCTCTTTCACACTCAGCCTCCCTGCCTCTGTCTCTATTTTCGCCCTTTTGTTAATGCTCATATTCCCTCAGTGCTGGTAAACTACAGCACCCAGTACAAAGTGTGACTACGGAGCTCAAGGCACCTTGCGTGACGTCTAAGCCCTGGTCTCCCTCCCTCAAGCGCTCTTCTGTAGTTTCCAAGAAGGAGCAGAGAGATCCATGTTTAAACAGTGGAAAGAATACAAGTCAGTTAATGCAACCTCATTACGTAAATGCTCTCTGCTCTTATGAGCTCTGACCACAACTGTAACTGACAGGAGCAAACTATGGTCAATAGCGTGCAGTGGAACAGTGCTTACGTCCAACATCTGACTGCCTTCACAGAGAGCACAACTGAGGTCCAATAGAGGGCAAGTAAAAGGCAACTGGAAGTTGAAACAATGAAGGAGAGGGAATGCTGCTTTGACTGGAAAAGATTACTTTTTTGGGGAGGGTTATCTGTATCTGCTTCCACAAAATAGACTCAATAAAAAGGTGTGCTCCAACAACTCACCTATGACACAGAAAGGCTTCCTGGCGAAGCGGATTCGTCCCTGCCATCCTCTGTAGCGACAGCAGCATCCTGATGACCAGACACGGGCGATGTACTCCAACCCAAACACTACAATCATCACAAACTCCTGTTCAAAAACACAGACACAATAGTTGTTTTGTCACCGTGTCAATGGTGGTAACAGAAGATAGTCATGTGGTTTTCCAGGCATCATACTGTATGTTAACCATTACAAATACATCATCAAACATTAAAATGGACGCCAGGTTGACAAAGTATTGTATCTGGTAATGACTGTGACAGGTCGTTAATAATGCACACACATTGAGCTCCCATTCGATAACAACTATACAATTTGTGAAATTGTAGCTACTGCTGCAGGTGCAATCATGCACAGTAACTGGTCGACTGAATAAAAAAAGAGACCTCTCCTTTCAGTAAGAGGATGTTTAGTCTTTTTAAAAGCATCTTTGCTCTTGTGCCCACTTTGGATAAAAGCGTCTGCTAAAAAAAAAAATGACTGTAATGTAGTAGCTTGTTCAGCCCGTCTGACTTTCTTTCTGAGGGTAACTTTGAACTACATTTCGTGTTATTTGCACTTAAAGTTTCCAGTTTGAGGGCAGATACTTAAACAAAGGAGGCACTGACCTAGAAGTCTAGGTCTGCTCTCAATTATAGAGGAGTTTCTCTTCATAATACAAAATCAGTACTTAACATTGCCCCTATGAACTGCAAAATCCCAATTAGCATGTATCTCCTTGCACGGGACTCCCTAAAATCTGGGTATTTCACCCGGATTTGCAAGGTTTTGCAGGGCTTAGCAGTGCACACGTCAGCGAAATCTGTGACTGTCTCAGCCCTCAGCTTTTGGCTGATGGTTTTCCAGTTTCTTACCAGAATGAGGAGACAATAGGAGGAGAAGTCCTGATGAGCTGGGATGGTTGAGAACACAGAGAGGACCAGGCAGTTGAAGACCAAGACGAACCTGAACAGAGCAACAGAAAAACAAAAGGAAAGAATCGTAAATACAATATGCACAAAATTGGAATCTTTTAGAATTACATCAATGGTCTGACCTCTGAAACGACCACACTAACCAGCAGATCAAATCTCAAACTCCAAAATATAATTTTCACTGGACACAAATATGCTGTTGATCACAGAAAAGTGCACTAAAGTGGAATTTTCCTTTGTGACAAACTCTTGAACCCATTCTGGCACTGAAGTAAGAGCAGAACACGAACAACCTGGCAGCACACTCACAGAACCTATTTCCTCTCTGCAGTGAACCATGAGGCCGACTATTATTCAATTTCCTGAGATATCAAGTTAATCATGCTTGTTTGTGTAACACGATTTGCAAGAAATAAGCAGTGAAACTGCGGCTATTGGAAAACAAGCAGACTCCAACCATTTCCACACTCCGAATGTCGCTCCCTCCGCCAGGAAACCATAGCCTGCCATCTTCATAACCATAACATGTTTTTTTTCCATCATAGAAATCTTCCAAAAACACGTCATTGTCTGAAATAGCAGCATGGGGTTTAGAGCTACGGTGGCTCCTGATGCTAAACAGGGAGAGCACATTTGTGTTTTATCATCTGAGATCTCCTCTCAAGCCTGCTGGAGAAAGACCGGTTGACATGCTTTGTGCAGGCTTTTAGAGAGCAGACAGTCAAGTCATGTCCTGCTTCATGTTTGTACAATTACACATTAACTATTCAAACTGCAGAACATTCGCTAAGCTCTAACCTTTATGCATCTAGATTTGTAAAAAAAACTTTCAGTTAAAAACGTTCACTTCCAGGGAACTGGTGTCACGATAGTATGAGCCAGCCTGATCTCCTAAAAATGACGTTGCCATACAACAAAACTGCATTGCCAGATACGTTTAGAGGGAAACTTATTGTTTGAAAGGTGCCTGTGTGAAAATGGTGGGTGTGCAGAGTGGGTCAGTGTCCCATAGCCTACATGTAGCCTACATATAGTACAGTACAGGACTTTGCCGCTCTGACCCAGTCAGGCCCTCTTTGACATCCAGAGAGTCAAAATGGAGGTCAACATTTTCCACAGCCATGTGGATGGTTATGTCATTATTTCTCAACCCATACGTTCTTCTCTTGCTCCGTCATATAGGCTGAGAGCTACTGAAGGTTCGGAGTGCAGCAAAAGTGTTAAGTATCAAAAGTTTGCTCTGTTCACAAATACAGGATTTGAATAATGTGATTTTAATTGGAGGAAAACATCCAGTGACAAGCATTGTGGTGCTGTCATCTAAAAAGCAAGTCCCTTGTCACCGGCACACCTACGCCTCTCGCACTTACAAGGTTGTCAGACCGAAAATTACAGAGTGACAATCAACTCCCTTCATCCATAGCCAACCTCGTGTTATGATTTTGAATATATTTACTTTAAAAGGAGGGTAGAGAATAACTGAAAAGCACCCTGACATCATTAAGCTCTCAACCAAGTTCACTAATTAATCCCACAAACTAGCGTTCTCAGCCGGACGTTCTTGTGTGTCATCATTCCCTGCGCTCATAGGCGGCAGAATTAATCTGGAGTGTCTCGCTCTGCACTTGTAGCAGAGTGATCGCTCTTAACCTTACAAACAGCCATGGCTGAAAATTAAGCTGGCTTACACACACACACACACACACACACACACACACAAACGCACCTTCACAATAGCAACATGGAGACATCTTTTCCTTCCACCTACTCATCCAATTACCTCTTCAAAATGCATCCTCCACCCTCCTCCACTCACTTTTACACAGATCCACTGAACGAGGGGGTAAGTGCCGCTCTGATTTGCATAATCTAATTCACTTATTTGACAGGAACAATGCACGTAGGCATTGTTACATTTAAATAAAGTGCCATTGATGCAATGTATGCAGCACTTCTAGTCGTAGATAATTTGCAGATCTTGTCCCTGGTTAGGCTTTTAAGAAATAAAAACAATATTTAAATGAATTACATCTTTTTGTTTGGAAAATGGGTTGTAGTTGTAAGACTAACGTCCTCACACAGCATCATTTCAAATTTGATTGGTGGATAAAAAAAATATGACAACTCTGTGTACAGAGGCAGGGCCAGACGGGTGTCGAGAAGTGGAACAGAGTTACAAATAGCAGCTATTTATGAATATTATTTCGTAATAGAATATTTAAAGTTGTTTCTAGTTTCTAAATCCGCCCCATGTCTGAGAAAGGTATACCCAGCCTCTAAACCAACAGAAAGAGTGTAACATGTAAGGAAACACAACTCAGTCGAGTGCGGTTGAGTGTTAATTGGGTCGCAGAGCACTAATAGATTAATAATGCTGCAAAATCATATCTAATTGGGTTTATTATGTCAGGTTGTTACAGAGGAAGATCTAACTTACATGACCTGCAGACTGATGCTGTCCATGGTCCTGAAACCAAATTATCTGCTGGTTGTTGATTTATCATTAAGTATTGGTTTCACAGTCCTCCTTCGTGGTATATCATTTGAGTTATGTCTTTTTAGCTAATAGGTATCTTTTCCAGGTAAACTGAGCTGTGCCTTGGTTTCAAACCACATTTTATTTTACAAACAACACTTGAAATAATGAAGGCACTTGAAAATGACTAATTAGTAAACAATGTATACCATACTTTGGTGTTTTGTTTTATAAAACGAATCGAAGCAATGACAATGAGAGAGATAATATTGAGAACAGATTTTAAACAAATCAAAAACTATTACAAAATGTGTTTACAAGATATTTAGTCATCTTGTAGAATTAGTATGACTTCTGGTGACTAGTAGTTCTCTCGAAAACCGATGTTGAATACACTTATTGTAAGTCGCTTTGGATAAAAGCATCTGCTAAATGACTGTAATGTAATGTAATGTAATCCTTAGCAGTGGCGCATGTTCCAATCCAACCTGCAGTCCTTTCCTGCATGCCATCCATTTTTACTCCCCTTTTCCTGTCTCTGTAGGCCAAGACGGAGATTTCTGACTGTTGATGTTGCCAGGGTTATCTTTTGGCTTTGGAGATGTATAACAGAAAACCATTATTACAAACTACAGCATGTGTTTGAAAAGGCATTTACTAGACACAAACTAGGGATGGTCAAACTAATAAATAGTTGAATTATGGGAATTGTTGTCTAATCAGGAAATCTTGGCCTGTGCTGCAACATTACAACTCTACCAATTCTATTTAGGTGCAATACTACATTACTGGACAACCCCTTTAATGGTTTGACTTATTGACTGTTTATCAAAATATTAAAAAATATAGTGAATAGTGCCTCAAAAGATCCCCTGGGTGATGTCCGATCTACAGTTCAAAACCCAAAGAGATTTCATGTGCAATGTTATAAATCCTATGATCTTTTTTCGAATGCTGAATTTGACATTTGTGGTTTTAAAATAAATGTCTCAAAAACTATTGGAATACCATGACATTTGCTACAAACTTTGAAGCCACCCTCAGGATAAATTGTAATCACTTTGGAGATCCTTTTATGTTTCATTTAACACCATCAGTTCAAAATCACGATTTGTCCAAATTGGTTTTATGACCAAATACCATCAAAACTGACATTCCCATCAGCCTTTGGGTGTATTGCTATTTAGCAATATTTAGCAAATGCTAAGATGGTGAACATGGTATAAACATTATAATTGCACATTATTAGCATTCTGTAATGCTGACTTTGGCATTTAGCACAAATCACAGCCCCACAGTGCAACTAGCATGGCTGTAATTAAAAAGTAGTAAAATGAGCATGCAAGGAACACAGAGATTGTCTTACATCAATTCATTATGTACAGGTCAGAGATCAACGCCTGGTGAGGGGGTCAGTGTACTTGCATGCTTTCAAATAATGTTAATTATCTTAAAAATACTAAATAGTTCAAATTATCTGGAAGATAACATGTTTTCTCTTTACAATTGAGCAACATGGTCATCAGAAGTTATCACTAGGTCCAAAGATTAAAACATCATCCATAAAAACGTCAACATATTATCCCACATTAGTCTGTCTGCCTCCCTTTTGATGACTGTGACCCAGAGAAATGATGACCTTTCCTGTGAGGTCATGCAGTGACATTCCTCCACAGTCAGACATGCGTTTCATCTCTCAAAGCATTCTTTACATTCGGTCTGACAAAGTGTTGGTCTCTTCAAACGGCGACAGGCCCTCTCAGTGTACTCAGCACATTTTAGAGGCTTACATGGAGGAGGACTGGATTTAAGAGACGGGTCAAACACTGTTAGATTGTTATCACTTGTTAAAATACTTCTATTACATTATATGTAACACAGTCACACACGTTCAGGACAAACACACTAAATCTGTGAGACGGCATGTGAAAGGATGAAGCCAGGAATGCACTTTGTATTTTGTCAAGCTGTTGGGTGGGGGGTATTGTGTTTCTCCTTCCCTATTACGCTGATGTTATGCATCTCAGTCTGCAAGAGGGATTGAAAGAGAGAGCAGAATGAGCAGAATGTGTTCGGGAGATTAGACAAGTGCAAATGAACTTGCAAAGTTGGCTCAAAGAGGGACTGGGAGCAGGGATTTTCACATCTTACTATTGATACAATGAGGTGTTTAGGAAGAGTCCTGTGGGTTTGTTTGTTGGCGTGTGAAGCTTTCTGCTGTGCACACAGTGTTTAAAAGAATATCACCATTTCGATAAGACAGGCAACAAACAGCAGAGTGGAAATAATGCAAGCAGTGTCGGATCTATTGGTGCACTGTGCATCCACATAACAGAACGCATAGCACAAGGATCTTCACACGGTTGCATTAAGAATAACAAATGCACACATACATATACAACTTGAATAATTCATATTTTCAATGACATCCTGTTTTGTTTTATGTGTTTCTAGAATTGAGAGCCTTCCCAGGATAGCTTAACATTGCAAAATATAAGCTTACTTTAGAATGAAGATAGAAGCTCTTGTAGCAAGCAAAAACTGTGCTCATAGCA